ATATATATATATATATATATATATTATTTGTTTAAAATCTAGTTCCTTTTTCACTATTTCTTTCAATTCATTTATTCTTCTCTCACTTATTTATTTACTTTTAACAATACTGATTATGAAACAAATGTTTCTGCAAACACCACTTTGTTTTATATTCATTACTTAATGCGAGAAGTTACCTCGTTGAATGTCCATGGTGGCCAGTTTCCCCCTGACTGTTCTTACATTCAAAAACTATTTCAACGTTCTTGTCAGCGCATGTCCGTTTCGTGCATTCAGAGAACACGAATGCCATCAATTATACATGAATGGGGTAGTTCGATGTCGTTCTCAATTGTCTGCTTGGACTAAATGTTGCAGTCCAAGTTTCATTGCCAGAAGTTTTCGTTTGTAATTATTTATACCCTCGTTGAAGCGGGAGGAAGGAGGAGACATTTGCTTCTTTTTACTTCTCTGCTACCTCTCTTATGAATGTGCATCGAAGTTTGCTGATGGACGAAATTTCAACTCTTGGAGAAAATAATTCACTACCAATTGAAAGTATAGTCGTTCATGAATGTTAATCTCGCCTTAAGAATTTTATGAGATTTAACGCCTCTAGTTTATGGATTACAGGTAGTACTGTTTGAATTGAAATACGAAATATATTATGAAATATTGTATATATAGTTTCATGTAAAATGTAAAATTTTATTATTCTTCTTGCAATGTTTTTAAATGCGTGGTAACGTAGTAATATTAATACTTGCAACGTGTTGTGTTATGTTGTGATGTTAACACTCTTGATAAGTTAACAATACATGGATCGATCAGACTTTCTTGTATCATACTTTGCAGTTAGGATGTATATATGCAGTTTCAGGAGTTTATGTTATGGCAATCTTTTACTGTGCATAGCAGAAGTATCACATATTGTTATACTTCTGCGTTATTATATGTATAGAAAGTTTGATCTATTGAATTATTATACATATTGGAAGTTTTATTTATTGATATTAATATCACTGACTTTTTATTATTTTACAATTTAACATGCTCTATTTTTTTCTTTCAGTAACGTGAAACGGTGACTGGAAAATGAATAAATGAACAAAAGAAAGATCTCGTTAGCAATAGTGAAATTTCTACAAAATGTAAGTTTTATATTCCGATTTCATCTATTGTATAAAATTTGTCGTTTATGCATATTCGTATATTCGTTTTCAATACATTTTTTCAGTGTGTTCAGTCTTTTTGTTTTTTTTTATACTATTGTATATTTGTTTCTCAATTTCTCATTTGAAAAATCTAAATCGTCATTCTTTGCTTCCACGAAACTTTATACGTACGTAATACGTATAAATTTTCTTAATCTGTTTCGAATTTTTTGTTTCGTCTGAAATTTTTTCAAACTATTCACAGTCAGATCTCCTTAATTCTTTTAATAGAAATTAATCAACATAAGTGTTTAATTGAATCATGTGTGAATAATATTGACTAATAATTGA